GCCATCTTGTGATGGCATGAGGGTTAATTTGTATAATGCCTCTTTATTATATAGGATACCGTGTTTCCCCGAAAATAAGACATCCTCCGAAAATAAGACCTACTTACAGCTTTCCTTCTGAGTGAAATATAAGGCATCCTGCTCCTTATACCAAACCTGCACTGTCTTCAATCTTTTTTTTTAATATATTTTATTGATTTTATACGGAGAGGAAGGGAGAGAAATACAGAGTTAGAAACATCGATGAGAGAGAGTCATCCATCAGCTCTCTGTATGGGACAACATATTTGCCAATGATACATCTGGTAAAGGGTTAATAACCAAAAATATATAAGGAACTCATACAACATAACAAAAGGAAGACAATCCAATTTTAAAATTGGCAAAGGACTAAATAGACACTTCTGCAAAGTGGACATACCGATGGCCAAGAGACATATGACAAAACAAAGACCCCAATTATCGGAGAGATGCAAATTAAAAGGACAATGCTTAAAGACCCTGATCCATCGGAGAGATGCAGATTAAAAGGACACACCTATCAGATGGCTACCATCAACGGATCAACAAATGACAAATGCTGGCGAGGATGCAGAGAAACCGGAACCCTAGTACATGGCTGGTAGGAATGCAGACTGGTGCAATCACTGTGGAAAACAGTATGAGTTTCCTCAAAAAAATTGAATATGGAACTCCCATGTGACCCAGTAATTCCATTTCTGGGAATATATCCCAAGAAACTAGAAACACCAATCAGAAAGAATATATGCACTCCTATGTTCATAGCAGCACAGTTTACAATAGCTAAGATCCGGAAACTGCCCAAGTGTCCATCAATAGATGAGTGGGTAAAAAAGCTGTGGTATATTTATACCATGGAACACTATGTGGCAGCAAAAAAGAAGGATCTGTTACCCTTTCAGACAGCATGGAGGGACCCAGAGAGTATTATGCTAGCTGAAATAAGCCGGAAGGACAAGTATCACAAGATCTCACTCATGTGTGGGATCTAAAGAGCAAACTAAACTGATGAACAAAATAGATCCTGAGACATAGGAGCGTGGAACAGACTGTCAAATCTCAGAAGGAAGGCGGGGGTGGGTGGGAAGAGATTAACTAATGAACTTGTGTGCATAACCCAGGGATACAGACAATAGTGTAGTGAAGGCCTGGGACAGGGGGCAATGAGGAAAAAGGGGGCGCTCCATAACACTTTTGGCCATACAGATTAAAAAAAAAAAAAAAAAAAAAAAAAAAGGCGGGCTTAAGTAGGAAGAAGAGATTGGTCTTTGAGACCAGAGCCCATCATTGGCCCAGGTCATGTGACCCATGAATAAATCCTTGTTGCGCTTTTCCACAGCACCTGCCTCATGCGTGTGGCTGTCCTTGAGGCGGGCAGGCAGGCAGCAGAACCTCCATTTTTGTTCGGTTCCACCCTGACTTCCAGGACGGGGGCCTTGGACTGGGGACAGAGATCAAGAGCAGGGCTTCTGGTTGGCGGAGGGGAGGGCAGAAGCGCTGCCTAGGGTCAGGGTGAGTAGGGGGCACGGCAGGGGGAAGGAAGGTGGGAAGGGGGGAGGGGAGACCCTGCCCCCACCACAGACTCAACATGGAAGGGCTTTGTGAGGGTGAGCACACACGCCTCATCCGTGTCTCAGAGACCCCTGCCAGAGCGAGTTCCTCACTTCCGCCTCCGCATCCGGGTCTCAGAGGCCCCTGCCAGAGCGAGTTCCTCACTTCCGCCTCCGCATCCGGGTCTCAGGGACCCTGAGGGTGCCTGGGGGAGAGCCAGAGCGAGCTCACATCCACAGAGGCAGGCTGGGGCCTGACCGAGTCAAGGTGAGGGTGCCCAGGGAGGGCGGAGGGACCCCGGGGCCTCGAACAAAGGTTTCTGTCCTCGGAGCCCCCTGGGGAGAGGGGGTGACCACACGTGGCGGGTCTGGGCGACTCTGGTGGTTTGGAGAGAGGCGCGGTGCCTCAACATGGCCGAGGCGGGCCCAGCCCTCCAGAGCCATCTGGCGGGCGGGCTTCTTTGGAGGAAGACCCTAGGAAGCGTGTCCTTCGGTCTGCCTCCACCCGGGTCTCACTAGGGGCATGGATCAGGGACCCTGGGACCTAGAGCAGAGCCAGCCCCGCCCAGGAGCTCGCAGGGGTGAACGCCCACCCTTGGCAGCCTCTGTGACCCTTACCCTGGGCTCCAGAGTCCCGGCCTTCGGGGCGGAGGCAGACCTCACTGGGCAGATGGCGGGCCCAGACCTTGCCAGAACCCAGGTGAGGAGCTGGGTCCCGCTGCAGAGGGAAGCCCGCAGAAGTCCACCCCGGCTGTCCACCACAAAGGGCACTGTGCGGGTGGACACGCCCAGTGCGTCCTGACTCACACAGTGGGCTCCGAGAAAGGGATGGTGATAAGAAGCCGGGCCTCTAGTCAGCATGACGGGCAGGGGAACTTTCCATGGTCACTGTCAGCTCGCTGAGGGGGATGGAAGGACCCCAGACCCCACCACAGAGCCAACCAGGCCGCACTCAGGGGAGGGGGGACACATGGGACATTATCTCAATTCCACATGCGGGTCTGAGAGTCTCTGGGGCAGGGGTTGCTGTATGGATGACGACCCCAGGTCAGCACGGGGTGGGTGGGTGGGGGGGCGTGACCTGGAGAGCAGATGGGGGGGGGTGAGAATGACGTCACCTGCCATTTTCTCCCTTCTCCATCCCCATCCAGGTCTCAGAGACTCTGGGGGTTTGGTAGAGGGAGTGGGACCCCATCTAAGTAAATGCGCCAAGGACCATGGAAAATAGACAAGAGTCAGTCCTGATCTCAGAGGCTCTGGAGGCTTGGGGAGAGGGAGTAGGACCCCATAGAGCCAGATGTTGCACCAAGGACCCTGGATTCTAGACCAGACTCAGTCCGGGTCTCAGAGACCTTGTGTGTTCAGTAGAGGGAGTAGGACCCGAATTAGGCAGATGGTGAGCCAAGGATCCTAGCAGCTAGATTATGGAAAGTCCAGGTTTCAGATACTTGGGGGGTTTGGTAGAGTGAGTGGGACCCAATATAGGCAGTTGGTGCGCCAAGGACCTGCCAAAGTCAAGGTGAGGACCCTGATGGAGGACGGAGGGAACCTGGAAGCTAGACCAGAGACAGTGCTGGGATCCCGCTGGGGGTTGGTGGTGGTGGTGGTGGTGGGGGGGGTTGACCACAGAGAGTGTGTGCTGAATTGCACAGCAGACTCAGGATCAGGAGCAGTAATTGAGAATGGCAGGGGGTAGTCCCAGGACCTTCCAAAGTTCATAGGCAGGCCTCATGGGAGGATGGTCATAGGTGGCATTTTCTTATTCCTGCATCTGGGTCTGACAGTCTGGGGCTTGGATGTAAAGAGCAGGACTTCACTTCAGCAGAGGGTGGGCCAGCATCTACCAGGGTCAAGGGAGGATCCTGAGGGAGGACTGAGGGAACCTTGGATCCCACCATAGTGGGCACCCCTCAGGAACCTGCACCTGTTCTCATCCCTGGGGTTTCTGGAATTGATTTCCCATGGATCTCTCACTCCCTTTGCTCTCAGGAGTCTGAACAAGGTGGGGCCTTACACAAAGGGTGTGTGGTATATATCAATAGACAGCAGAGCCAGGACACTCGGCCACTGCAAGTGGCCAAGCTATTGACCATGAAGGAGGAAGGAGGGTGAATTCTCCTGCAGAATAAAGGTGGAACTCAAGGACATTTACCCCACTTCCGTTTTCAGCTCTGAGAGACCCCAGGCAGAGCACTCTGATTTTGGCTGGGGTGGTAGGCCTCAGGCAGGTGAGAGACCTGGACTGACGGACCGCGTGCAGGCCAGCAAAGGAGAAGTGGGGAGATGGCCTGGGCCCTGACTTCCTTTAAGGTGAGGAATCAGCGGAAAGACAGCAGGAGCCCTAATGCTCCTCCCCTGCTCCTGAGTCTTGCTGTATCCTTTCAAGGTTCAGCTGAGGACTCAGGGAATAGCTCACTTCACAATGGGTGGAATTCCAGCCTTCCTTTGCCACTTCTGTCATCCATGAGAGAAAGGGGAACGTGGTGGCTAGCCATGGTGTCCCTCAGGTCCTCCACCAGTGACTCAGGAAGGTGAGAATTTTAGTCTGAAGGAAAGTTGCTTCAGGTCAACACAGGAAGTTGTCCAAGACCCTGTGAGATGTCAACGTTAGGACTGAGGGGACTCCCCGTCCCAGGGCAGATAGCCACCACAGAGTTTGGCCAGATCATACTCTGTCCCATGGGATGTCCTGGGCAGGTGGAGTCAGATGTGGGGCCCTCTCACTTTCTCCTGTTCAGTCTCAGGGGTCTGTAGCCTTGTTCTGAGAGTTTTGCATCAGGGCCAGCAGAGGGGAGGTTCACGGGCCCTGCCAGGCGAAAGGTGAGGACCCTGAGTGAGGAGGCAGGAGACCCCCCCCCCCAGCCCAGAACAGTGGGGAACTCACAGAATCCTGGCCTCCCTCTTGTCAGCACTGGAGGCCCATGGCTCTGCATGCCACCTGCATGCTGAGGTGTTTCCTCGTTTCCTGTTACAGGGGCTCCAGGAACCAGAGCATAAAGGCCTTGGTCTGAGGCACAAAACACAGGTCACAGAGCAGAGCAGGACCAGGCTGTGCCAGCAGTCAAGGTAAGGTGCCTGCCCTCACCTAGAATGTGTCCCCAGATTCTCCCCCATGACAGGATAGAGGAGAACCCCTGCAGCACCCGACCCCACCCCACTGCCAGCCACAGAACCCTGGCTTATGTCGACTGTTCCCCGAAGAACCATCTGACTTCCTCATTGAGGATCTTAGGGGACAGGCCACCCAGGAGGAGAGACCCCAGTGAGGACAATAGCACCCCTAAAGAGGAGACCTGTAGCTCTGCTTTGTCAAAGCGGACAAGGGTGTACCCAGCTGAGGCCCCTTACACTTCCTCTCTCCCAAAGGCCTGTGAGTCCTCACTGCCCACCTGCTGCCCACACTCCTGTGGCTGCCTGAAGGGAGTCATCATGCCTCGAGCTCCAAAGCGACGACGCTACTCGCTTGAGAATCAAGAGGCTGAGGAAGAGTATTATTCCTCCTCCTCCTCCACCTGCTCCTCCTCTTTTCCTTCCTCTTTCTCTTCCTCCTCCCCTTCCTCCTCCTCTTCCTCCCGCTATCTTCTGCTTTCAAGTAATCCAAGCACCCCAGAGTATGAGGAGCAGGAGGAAGAGGAGGTTCACGCTGCTGCTGGGACACTGAGTCCTACCCAGAGCTCTCCACTTGCCTGTGCCCCCCCTACTGCCATTGACGCTGCTGCTCCATTGAGCCAGTCCAGCAGCCAAGAAGAGGAGGGTCCGAGTACCTCCCGGGCCCTGCCAGACACAGAGTCCTTGCCCAGGGACGTGATTGATGATAAGGTAGCTGATCTGGTGGGGTTCCTGCTCCGGAAGTATCGCACACAGGAGCTGACCACAAAGGTAGAAATGCTGAGTAGCGTCATCAGAGAGCACCAGGACCACTTTGCTGTCATCTTCAGCGAGGCCTCTGAGTGCATGCAGCTGGTTTATGGCATTGATGTGAAGGAAGTGGACCGCACCAGCCACACCTATGTCCTAGCCACCAACCTGGGCCTCACCTATGATGGGATGGTGAACCATGTGCACAGTATGCCCAAGACTGGCCTTCTGATACTCATCCTTAGTATAATCTTCACGGAGGATGATTGTGCCCCCGAAGAGAAGATATGGGAAGCACTGAATGCCATGGGGGTGCATGCTGGGGTGGAGCATTGCATCTATGGGGAGCCCAGGGAGCTCCTCACCAAAGTTTGGGTGCAGGAACAGTACCTGGAATACCGGCAGATGCGCAACAGCGAACCAGTACGGTACGAGTTCCTGTGGGGTCCCAGGGCCCACGCTGAGACCACCAAGTTCAAAGTCCTGGAGTTTCTGGCCCAGATCAACGGGAGTGACCCCAGATCCTTCCCACACTGGTATGAGGAGGCTTTGAGAGAGGAGGAGCAGAGAGCCCGGGCCAGAATTAGCACCACAGATGATCCTAGTGCCATGGCCAGTGCAGGCTCTTCTGCCAAGTCCAGTCGCTTCTTCTGCCCTCAGTGAAGTCCAAGGCAGATTTCCTTACTTTGTGTTTTAAGAGGGAAGTCAGTGATCCAAGCGGTGGAGGGCTAGGATAGGGGATTATAGTGAATAACATCTGTGTGTCTCTGTTCCATTTGGTTGACTTAGAAATGTATCTTCTTTTATTTTTGGTATTTTATAATGTTACTTTAATAGAACTTTTTTTTTAGCTTCAGAATCTAAGTTTACAAATGACATGGATCACACGTTGATTGTAATTTAACTTAAGACAAAGAACTTTGCTATTTGGTAAAAAAGAAAAAAAAATGGGAATCCTTCATTTTATTTGTACTCTGGAACCAGATAATGTGGACTTGGAATAGGCTTTTTTTTTTTTTTTTTTTTTTTTTTTTTTTTTTTTTAGTGTGAAAGAGCATAGCTGTAAAAACAGATAAAATAGTTAATTTTTGAATGCCTGTATCATATTTAGTCTGTCATTCTGTAAAAACAAAATATATGTACCTGGATTTTCTTAGCTTATTCAAGAATATAGGAAAATAAACAGTAAAAGACTCTTCTCGCTGGTTCATGTGCACCCTAAACATTCACTGAGCCTCTGTCCTCACAGGGAAAGGCAACCCAGCCAGAGAAAGGGAGGGGAGGCAGAGCAGAGGAGCCTGGAGCCAGGACTGGAAGGACACTGTTTGGCAAGGGAGTGAACACAGGCAGCTTTTGTCCCCCAGGTCTTGTCTTTGAGGATGGGCATGTTTCCATACACAGGAGGACATAATAGCTGAAGTGAGGTTTATGTCCTTTAAGACAGGAGGGGAGAGTCACCCAGAGGGGGGGGGGGGGTGGTTGCTCATGTGGAGTGTGGTACTGAGGCTCAGGCCCTATGATGTGGAGCCACCGGTTATGACTGTCCTATTACATTACAGGCCAGGCCCTCAGCCCCTTGGAATCCAAGCTCCATCAGGTACTAGGACCCCCTTCCCCAGAAAAAAGGCAAGTACAGTGGGTGATGTAGTCAGGGCCCCCATGATCCAGGGTCATCTATTCTCTCTGTGCCACCTTCCCCACCACCGTTATTTGAGGATTGAATTCTAGGATTTGTGGATCATGCCCATCTCAGAGCCTGAAATGGGCATAGTGTGTGTGTACTGGTGCCAATTCTCCCTGCTCCAGTTATTCCTTCCTCTGGACTGCAGTGGGGCCAGAGTGCCTGCTGACAGCAGATGGCAGTGGTGCAGCCAGGGGATGGAGGAGGGTTTCTCCCAAAGGGGCCAGAAGGAAACACTTGACAGGATCTGAGCTGAAAACGTGGTGTCCCAGGGCCCAGCTGAGGTTGCATCCCAAGTATTTGCAACCAGCGGCCCTGGAAGAGGGACCAGGGTGCTTGGGATCCTGCAGTGCCTTGGGGTGAAAAGAGGAGGGAGCTGACTGCTGGGGTAGGTGGGGGTGAGGTGAAGAGAAGAAGCAAAGCTTAGAAGGGTCTGTGCTGGGAGAGGACTAGAAACCACTCCCAGGTTTGAAGCCAAAAGGGCCCTTTCTCCCCTCTCTGTGCTCCCTGGCCTCAGTGACCTTCTTTGTGGAACTGACCACATCCTGTGCTGAGTGCCTATCTTTACCTGTCTCCACCTTCTTCCTTGAGCCGCCTAAAGACTCCATCTGATGGACGAGGCATCTGCATTTTCACCCCTTTCCATAGGGCCTGGCCGCTGATTGCTTGGGGATAGGAAGAAGGAGCCAACACTGTGCTCTCCCACCACCCCTGTCAGTGGGGTTCCAGGGCCCTAGGGGACATTGGGGAGAGGTCAGCCCACAGACTATGAACATGGAGGGATGATGCATGATGCTTATGGACAGTCATACTTGTGGTTTCCTCACATGAGGCCCACGGATCTCTAGGGAGATGGAGTTCTCCTGCTTCTCCTTCCCACAGACTTATGCAGGCTTGGTCTTAAATGCGGTGAACACCCTGGAGACTTACTGGCAACCCTAGTGAGCGGCCAGGGCAACTGTACCATCACCACCCACATTGTGCACAAGGGACTGGGAAGACCTCCTCAGGCGGGAGCTGTTGCTGGAGAGGCTGTGGTGGAACCCCAGGCAGGTTCATGCCCTGCTCTGAGAAGGGAGAAGTATGGCTGAGGAGTGATCCTAGGCAAGAAGTGACACCCTGAGCGCAGCTCACACCCCTACAAGAGTACCCCCAGGACCTTGCTCAGGAGTCTGGGGTTGTTTTCTTTAAACCTGTGGTGGTGGGGCTGTGGTTTCTGTAAGCAGCACACCTTCAAAGGGGCACCAAGGGGCCCAGGCTGGGATTCTGTGGGCAGAGTTTCTATGACCTGGGTCAAACCTTCTGTCCACACTGGTTCTTAGTCCAATTGGTGACCTGAAGTGCAGGGAAAGGTCCAAGTCTTCATGTGCTGTTGTCCGTGTTCACACATGTGTGTTTATGCATGTATACACACACACATGTGTGTGTGTTTATGTGTGAAAGACCAGGGGAGGCTACACAGCACACAGAGAATGTCGGGTGACCTCCAGACTCGGGCTGTCTGCTGATCTAACACAGCTGCCCCACCTCCACTGTCCTTGGCATCCTGGGATCATTAGCTCACCCCTCAGTGGTTGAGGTCCCACACCAGCTCCTTTCACCTGGTGAAGGGCTTGGGACCTAAATGCTGGTGGGTTCCCCACAGCAGTCAGGGCTCCTCTGACCTGTGTGTGCTGCCCACAGCAGTCAGGCTGGGACCTGCCCTTTCTTGGACCAGGCTCTGTCCCCTTCTTTTCCCTTTCTCCTCTGGCCTCACCCAGAATTCCATGAACAGCGTTTGACACATCAGAAGTTCTCACCCAGCTCACTCAGTGTCCCTTTGGTGAAATCAGCTTTGCTCTGGAGGGCATAATTTCAAAGAACCCTTTCCTTTGGTTGATGGAAGGAAAATACATTTCAGTGCTTCTCTCATTATGCATGGGGCTCCCTGACATTGGGGCAGTGCCCCAAAAACATGGCTCCTGAGGAAGATGTGGAACTGGAACACCAGGCTGTCCTGACCAACCTGAAGCAGAAGTACCCGACTGCACTTTCAAACCCCATGTGGTTACTGAAGCTCATACCCAGGAAAGGGGAAAGGCTATCTTCCACGTAGGCATCCCACAGCACCTGATCTCCTAGGGACAGGAGGACTCCACAGGAAGGTTACTGAGAATCCAGATGAATCATCACCATCAAAAGCCCATCATGCCACAGATGTGGAACTGAATTGGCACTGCCATGGAAAGCACTACCCACCATCTGCTGTTCACGTAAACAGATTTCTGTGCCCTGATGTAGGCGACTGTCCTCGTGAGATGCCTCACTGGGCTCATTGCCTGTCTCAAGCACTCTGTCTGGCTTTAGGGAAATGGGGAAGCTGCCAGGACATATCTTGGTGCTATCACTCTTTTTGGTCCTGCTCATTATAGAGAAAAAACTGTTTTAGCAGAACTGATTATTGTTTGGGACTCCCATTTCTTTGTTCTGGTCAAACTCACAGAAAACTTCAGCAGTACCCAGGGACCCTGTGGGAGGTCTGGGAGCAGGCACTGAATGATTGCCGGAGGGTGACCAGCAAGGCATGGCTTCATTCACGGTGGAAGGGACATCAGACTTTGAAAGAAAGCACCTGTCTCTCCTGGCAAGTGACTGGTCTGCTATAAGTGTCCCTTGGCTCATGAGGGCTTGTGTTACACATGTCACATAGCTACCTCGGGACCCAAGGACAGATCTGAAATACAGCTCTGATGGAAAAGTGATGGGTAGAGTTTTTGTTTTCCTGTGTGGGCAATCTTTAATTTATTTGGATCCCTTCTAGCAGGGTTACTAATGGTTGTTAGTTGTGAGGATGATGGGCTTTCTCCCAGGCGTTGACTGGAATGGCCCATCTTCTAAACCAGACTGGCTCTGTCGTACACCACTTAGATGGGGTGGCCTGAATTCTAGGTGGACCTCTCTGGAAGGCCCGTGGAACTTGGGCTAGAAACACTCAGATGCTGATCAGAAACTTCCTGGCATCATAGGGGGACCTGGGAGTAAAGACCCTTCTGTTTCAAGATGCATGACTAATGTAAGGTGATTCCCCCAAGGTCAGGAGTCAGGCAGTTCTGTCTCCTGTTCAGTAGGCAAGGCTCAGAGGACCAGGTCTTCCTGGGTTTGCCTCAGGACCCCCCAGCCAGATCCTTGGTTGAGTGTGTGAAATGAAAGAGGACAACAGGGACAAAAGCCTTTCAGGCCAGCATTTCTAGCGTCCTCAGGCTCATCTGATGAGGTGTGTGGCATGGAAACAGAAGAACACAGACTCACAATTCTCATTGGATTGTTTATTTTGTAACATGTAGTTTGCCTTTCTATATTATAGCAGAAATGGATTTGTGGTTACAAAACCTGTGATATTATGGGACTGTATTGTCCTTGAACTGCTCACAGAGTGAATACTTGTTATCTGAGGAGCCCTCATGGTTTTCCTCCTCGGCCTGGTCAGGGTCCTCAAGTGGAGCCAAGTCTAAAAGTTCAGCTATCAGAACTGAATAGCATATGTTGTATAAAGACATCACTGAACCTTGTGGTGGTTTATTTGGGAGGGTGGGGAACAGATCCTCTTTGCCATCGGTTCCGGCAGTAGCCGTGGGCACAAACATGAAATTACCAGAAGTGTCCTCCCCACTTGAACCACTGGCTGCACTTGGACACTGGACCTCCCTGGCACTGCTCAGGGGCTGAGGAGCGGAGAACCCGAATGCCTGGGTGGCACTGGATCCCCACTCATTCTTATCTGTCTCCTGAGCCTTTTGTTCTGCTTCTTTTTTGCTGTCCTCCTGGTGTAGTCTTGGAGAGCGTCTTGTGGGGGCCATCTTCTTCTTTCTCTTTGCAGGCCTGGCACTGGTACCTGGACAAACTCGAGCCATTTGATTGCCTTTTGCCTTAATGTTTAGGAGATGCCAAGGCTTGTCTCTCTGGAAATTGCTGTTTTGGTAGATCTGAAACAAAATTAATTTAGTCATTTGTGGAGAAAAGATATCTATTTGACATTAACTGGCCTCCCAGTCTACTCATCCCTGCAGGTTATCTCTACGGGGGTTATAGTTTCAAATAAAAATCTATACTTTCTCATCTTTTGATAAATACTGTATCACGTGAAAAAGGTTTAGGCCCTGAAATGAAGCCTTTTCAGTATATCATTCTTCTGGGTCCACTAGGAAGATGTTTGAGTACAGGGAACATGGGAAATGGGAGGACTTTCTACTTTACCATTATCTTATTCCTTGGAGAGCAAACTGAAGAATCATCAGGGCGTATTTTGCTAAAACCATGGAGGTTCATCAAGCGGATGAAACTCTTCAGGCTGTTCGATTCAAAGATTTGCTCCTTGCCCCTTCGGCAGAGAACCTCCCTCTGGAAAAGGTTCACCTTGATGATCACGGTGTCTCCATCTTCATTCCAGCACACAGACTGGAAGGCATCATCCTCCACTATCCTCCAAAGCTTTCTTGGGAAGGACAGTCCATAAAGAGTGTTGTTTCCTTCCACATTAGTGGCCCTTTGGTTTGGGGCCTGTGGTTGAGGGTTGTCTTGTGGGCTTGGATCTTGGCTCTCTTCTTGGCTACCGTGCCTCTCCAAAGCCTCTCTGGGACCCACATGGGGGTCTGGCGATGTATCATATTGGACCAGTATTGGTGGCTGTCCTTTCTCTGATGGGGCCAGACTGGCTTCCTGCATCTCATTGGTACTCTGACTAGCCATGTTGATGCTCTACATCAACAAGCATTTGGCACTCTGGATCCTATCACTTCAAAAGTGGGATCAGAAATGCCTGTGGTCACAGCAGCGATGCCCTATATATACTGTCCTCAAAATTCTAGAGTCTCGGTCGTGGGGCAACCAGCTGCTTAAGTCATGTGATGTCACAAAGGTGACTTATGGCTGCTCTGGAAAGTGGGCTCTTGCCAAGTGTGCGGGAGTGGATATCTTTAGAAACTCCATCTTCTCTCTTTTCAAATAGTTCAAAATATAAGAGTCAGATTAATAGAAAATGTGCTCATCTGCTTCCAGAAAGATCGTTTCTTGTTGCTAGTTCACTGGATGTGTGTTGAGAGGTCCCAATCCTATCTCTACCCCCATCCCTACAGAGAGGAGGGGGGACAGTTGGTGGCCTCTTTGTTGCTCAAGGGCCAGGTCCTGGTTAGTCCTAACTTGGGCAACCTCCAATACTGCCTGGGTCAGATGGGCTCCTGGGGGACTGTTCCTCCCAGAAAATGGTGGTTCGCCTGGTCTCAGTAGGTAGCCCCCCTCTTCAGTGCACCCCTCATAAGCTTCCTGCTTTGGTATCTTCCAATTGTGCCTATTCGTTAGTAAGTCCTGCTAAGATGAGCCCAAAAGAGAATCTTATTTTCTTAGTTCTGGGTCGAATTGTCCCTAGAATAGGGCTGTGCTCCAGCACAGGTGGGAATGTTCCTCTCTTTCCTCAACCTCAGTGCTACCCAAAGCACCTGAGAGAAGACATTAAACACGGTTTTGCAGTGGGAATGGACAGCCGCAGCCTCTGATGTCCTATGGAGCCCACACTTGAACTTGGCTTGCCTCCAAATCTCACCACTCTCAGGTCACAATGGCATTGGCTTTAGTTTCTATGTCTTCCACATAGGAACTCTTCTTACTACCCAAGATGAGTTCACTTTGGGACACCTGCATTTGTCTTCTCAAATCACCCTCCCCACACCCTCAGATTCAGACTCCCTTGAGACCTCCCCTATGCCCCATTTCCGTTCTTCAGTGAAATTGGTGGGCTTTGGCTCTGCCAGATTTCCGGCTTCCCACTTCCAAATTGAATCTCCTCAGGTTCTTCCCCTTTTCATTGATGATTTGTGGTTAGGCACATACCCAGCTCTTGGGAAATAAAGCATTCTGCTGACTCACTCTCATGCCAGCCCTGTTCTACTTGCCAGAAGCCTATGTGTTCCTCTCCTGCCATAGCCCTGAAGATGGGTATATTGAATCATTTTGTTTGCTCTTGGGTTAGATCCTTTTCAAAAACCAAAACCCTACTCTACACAGATTCACTACCAAGTTAAATTCTAACTTGTTAAGCTAGCTGTGACTGAAGGAAGCTGATATGAAAATAATCATAAATATGTAGATGAACATAGATAAGAGCTTGGGTGTGGAATGGCACAAAAGCAAAATTCAAGTCATCTTCATACAGAGGAGAGGATACCATTGCGATTTTTGTGATCCATATTCTGTAGTTGTTGTGGACAAGTTTGATCTTAATAATCACTCTGTATAGGGAGATAGAGTGGTACCATGAATGGACACCAACTGCATGGGTCCTAGGTTTTTGTCTCAGCCATGCCACTAAGTGGTCTCCTTTTTACCCTAATTATAAACAATGGGGTCAATGCTTTGTTGCTAAAAGTTGAGTGCAAAGGAATTTAGGAAGAAAATTCCCCAAAGTGCCCCTCACCCTAATAAGTGCATCCTTAATGGAGCCCCTGGGTTTACACTCAGATTCAGTCCATGGTCTTTGTGTTTCTAAATAGGTTTACAAAGCATTCATTCAAGAGTCAGTCTATTCTTGGAGGACATGTCTTAGAGGCTAAGAATGGGCTTCTTCACACCATGGTGTTGGGCAGGGGAGGGAGGCTCCTAATGTCTCTGGTTAAATAGCCAGCTCCATTCTGTTCCCTGCCTATCAAAGTATTGTTTCTTAAGGGAGTTCTTTAAAGGCTGAAAAGGAGGGTTCCTTGTGGTCTTTGCCAGCTCATGACTCTGCAGGTTACTTATTCAATGGAATTTGCCTGTTTCATGGGAGGGAAATTGGAGAGAAGACTCTGGAAACCACATTCTGGCATTTCATGGGTAACAGGTGTTTACTTGGTATGATTTAGGCACTCAATGATAGTGTCCCACTGATTCTGTAGGATCATTAGCTAATATTATTTATTCAAAAGCCACTGGATTTCCACTATGGTGAAGAATCTAGGACATGGAGTTCACCTTCTCCTCTGAAGATGAAATGTTCACACTGCTGACTTCAGTGGAGTTGATGAAAGGCAGTATGAAAATGCCATTCCTCTGTTAAGCCTGCTCAGTCCCAGAAATTTAACCATGAGCCCACAACCACCAGTCAGATAGTGTTTATTAGGCACCATGCTCTCCAGAACTCCAAAGGTCCCAGAGATAACCCACGTGTGTTGCTGCCTTATGAACAGAGCCCCCAGAGTTAGGTGGCTGCAATCCATGCAGCACAGCTGACTGGACTTCCTGGACAGCCACCTCTGAGGAAAGTGATTTCAGTCTTGACTTGGCTGTTGTTGCTTTTGTACAGCCTTGCAGCCATAGAGAAAGAGCTGAGTTCTGGACTATGGAGCCCTTGAGGCTAGTCTGGCTGCCAAGTGTAGATAAAAGAAAGTCTTGAGGTTCCATGACCTCAAGCCACACCCCCAGAGCTCGTGAGCAACCTCACTTAGACACATGAGCCTCCTCTCCAATGCCAGTCTTTCAGCTGTTCCCTTGACCTCCTCCCTTAGTCGAGTTGGGCTGCCATAACAACATACCACAGGCTGAGTAGCTTATCAACAACAGAAACTTACTTCCCACCATTCTGGAGGCTGCAAGTCCAAGAATAAGGTGCCATTGTGCTTTAGTGAGGGCCCTCCTTGCTGTGTTCTCACATGGTAGAAGGAGCATGGATCTTTCTGGAGACTCTTTTTAAGGTGCTATTTCCATCTCTGAGGGCTCAGCCCTTGTGACTTAAGCACCTCCTAAAGGCCCAACCTCCTAATGCTGTCAGCTTTAGGGGTTAGGGTTCCAACATTAGCCTTTTACAGAAACACAAACAGTCAAAACAATGCACTCCCTTCTGGACAGTGCTCTCCTGACCCAAAAACCCATGGAGGGTCTCCTGCTGTGAAGGATTCTTCTCTTCCTCAGCCCTGTTCAGACCCTATTCAAGTAAAGCTCCTTGTGTATTGATGTCTTTCTTGGTCAGATCTTCTTTCTGGATCAGCTCCCAATCATAGGTGAGGCCCACAGTGGTGACCAGGACATAGCAATGGTCATTGGGTCTACTTCTCTCCCATCAATTCCAAATCCCAGCCGTATGCACTGTAGATTTGGATGAAGATCTCAGGGAAGTGGTCCTGGTACTTTTTGATGACACAATTCAACATTTCTGCCTTTGTGATCCCCTCTTTTGCAAGATACCTTAGGAGAAGGATGGTCAGCAATGAGCACAGATTTCCCAACAATGTCCTCCTGGTTACATATCTGTGGGTGACTGCCAGGAAGGGCAACTGTGCCTCCAAGGATGAAATCTGGGAAGCCCTGCAGGTCATTGAGGTTCATGATGGAAAGGAACATAGGACCCTACAGGGGCTCCTCACCAAAGTTTGGGTGCAGGAACAGTACCTGCTTTTACCCGCAAGGACCCAACAGTGATGTGGCACACTACAAGTTCCTCTGGGGCCCCAGGGCACATGCTGAGACCAACAAGTTGAAAGTCTTTGAATTTTTGTTCAAGGATGATAGAATGGATCCTACCGTGTTTCTCTTAAAATAAACATCCTCCAAAAATAAGACCTACTTACAGGTTTCCTTCTGAGTGAAATCTAAGGCATTTCCCTTAAAATAAGGCTCCCCCAGGCTCTGTCTCAGAATGAAAATTAATTTACTGTAAATTGGTCCCTAGGGCCGCCTCTAGCAACCAGTGACATTACTCGGAGTCCTGACTTCACTGCTATATGGAGGGGGAGCAGAGGTCCTAGTGAGCAGTGAACACAGGGCGGGAGAGAAGAAGAGACTTTTACAGATGCCTGTAGAAGAACAGGAGGATTAGAGCAGACAGGACACGGTGAAGGTGGTGAGTGCTGGTCTGAATCTGTTGACACTACCTGATGCTCCCAGCTACCCTCATGATCACTGAAGGTTCTGAGTCAGTAGCAGACCCTGCTCCAGCCAAGATCCAGGCCCCAGCAAACCCAGTGACAGTCCCCAGGCAGGCCCCAGGGGGTAAATGTCTGACGAAGGGGTAGGGGGGATGTCTGATGAAGGTGTTCAGTGGCACAGGGGTGGGGGGAAGGAAATCACTTAAAATGACACAGGAGGATCAGAGGGGGCAATCAAAATGACACAAGAGGATCAAAAGGGGTTACTAAAATGTTAATACCCCTCTGATTGTCCTGTGCCAAATTGATTCTCCCCTTTAATCCCTCCTCTGTCATTTTAAGTGATCCCCCTCCCCCTACCTTGATACCCCAATGCCTTTTTTTTACCCTTAGAAATGAGCACAAAAAGAAAAAGCTACTCCATGGAGTACAAGAAAGGAATTGTGGAAGACTCTTGGGGCCAAAATCTTACTGCTTTCTGCAAAGAGAAGATGTTGAGTATCCGATTGGTCTGAAAATGGCGAGCAAAGTATGGTAACCTCATTGAACAAGTGGACAAGGGAAATGCTAAAAAGCACAAGTGTGGATCAGGTCGGCAACCATTATTTTCTAAGCTGGAAGACCTGATCTGTGAATGGGTTGTTGACAGGAGAGCAAAGGCTTTGGTTGTGAATAGGGCTCTGATTCAAGAATTTGCCCTTGCAATGGCACCACACTTTGACATAGCCCCTGAAGACTTCAAAGCATCACAACAGTGGCTGGATAATTTCCTTCAGCGAAGTGAACTGTCTTTAAGAAAATCTACAACATTGTTTAGGTTGGAAGATACTCAAGTTATTAAGCGAGCACTTGCATTCA